CCAGACCCGCCATGGGGTGGAAGTAGGCAGCTGGACTCGCCTGTGAGTTCTCAAGACTCACTGCTCTTCTCATGGGACCATGGGACAGGCTGGGGAGGGTGTGCCTGAGGTTGGCTGGGTGGATGGACCTCCTGAGCAGGGTGGGGTGAAGGTGGAGGAGGCATAGTGCCTGGGCGGCCCTGAGGGAGTTGGCCTGAAAAGACAGTGTGGCCCAGGCAAGCCAAAAATTGGACCCCCGGAAGTGTTTCCTTGAGTTTCTTTTCCTTTAAGAGGTAAAAAGAACAGTGAAGAAGTGCAGGGCTGCAGGGGGAGAACCCAAGCCTCCACACACCCAACACCCTGTACTTTTCGGCTTACAGTAGCTCCAAGCTCCCTTTCTTATGTGATAGTTTCTCAAGCAGGAAGAAAAGGGGCCAAGGCACAGTCTGTGAGGAGAATCTTTCCAGAAGTTTCCAGCAGGTTCCTCTCAGGTCTCTTTGGCCAGAGTTGGGCCATAGGCCAATTCCAGTGGTACCTCGTACTCATTGTTAATTGGTTCCAGGAGATGTGCCAAGTACCAAATTCAATGCGTTCCAAAGCAGTTTTGTACCTAGCTATGAAAGGAGATAGAACCAATCAGTCACAGTCCATCTGCTTGTGCCAGATAGATCTATGGACAAATGGAAACTTGGGCTTCTGTTAGCGAGAAAGGGAAGGGGAGGTGCTGTTGGATGTGTTACCAACCATCGCATTTGGAGAAACACTTTCAGGAACAAGAGACCAAGATGGCCTGGTCATTTTAACCAGGAAGGAGATTCATTGAAAAGAAGGTCTGGATGAGTCTGGAGGAAACTGGCAGGAGAGAAGCAGGAAGAACAACAGATGCCTTTGGCCAGAACCCTGATTTGGATTCCTCATCAAGGAGAGGAATCCTAGTGCTTCTAGGCTTCCTATCGTACAAGATCGAGTCCTGGCGGAAGTGCAGTACTGGATCGCAGCGCAGTGCAGACCTGTGTCCTGGATACCTGGAGGCAGAGGGAAGGAAGGCTTGGCATTTTTAGTCCCAAATAGCCACCAGTGGGACAATCCCTTGCAGTAGGAAAGAGCAGCTGGACACTGCCCAGCCCAAACAAAGCCTGGCAGCCTAGCTAATATCCAGGAGCACAAGAAGCCATTCCTAAGCTGGTGGCTTGAGCAGAGCAGTTCCCTGGAAAGCAGCATCTTCAACAACTGGGATTAATTACCAGGAAAGGAAACAAATGCAAAGTGACGACTTTGCACCTTGCATTATTTTGCAAATCTTATTAACTGTTATATAAGTTGAATTTGAATACAACACACATATCCGTTTTGTCAGCCAAGTTTGCAGCATGATTTAGCTGTTTATAACTTATAGAATTTTAAGAACAGAGTTTAAAGGTACAGAGTTTAAAAGGATCCTGTCTCAGAGGAGGCTGAGGAGGGCGACCCCCCCAGCATCCTCTCGGCAGGTGTTCCCCGTGGGTGGCGCCCAGAAAAGAAGACCCCAATAGGAGCGCAGGGCCCCCAGGGTCAAGGTCTGCATCCCCAGTGGTTTGGACTCGGGTTGAATTGGTCAGGCAGGCTGGGGCAAAACGATTTGTCCTCACCACCTCCAATTAAAATGAGTCCAACCCAGGTCCGTACAATAGTAGGTCCATCACGCCTTGGGACCAGGGCGGTGAGTCCCCTAGGGATAAGGCAGTTTAACGCAGGCCAGCAATGCGCATGTGCACACACAGAGCCCAAAACACGCGCGCATGCGCAATGACATCTTCCTGGGCAGCCGCTTTGCGAAGGCAGGGAGGGCGGACACAGCGAGGGCAAGCCGGTGGGCCTTGAAAGGTCCGTGCTGGCTGCTCTTGGCTCTAGAGAGGGAAAAGCCACAGAATATGTTGAGGTGACTACCTGGCCTTTGATGGAGGCGCCCTGAGTACAGCTCCGAGGAGCCATTGGTTAGAACGTGTCAGACTCCTCCCCTCCAAGCCTGCAGTTCAGGCCCTTCCTATACTGAAGTCCTCCACGTGGTGCATAGCCAGCACCCACAGGGAACCCAAGGATGGTGGTTATTGCCTCAAGTAAAGCCACATTCCGTTATGAAACTCATCCTTGAATATTCACTATGCAATTTTAATCGTTTTCTCTAAAACAACAACAGGAATCTTCACTCCGCCGATTGTCTTGCCTACTTACTTACACACAGGCCCCTGAAAGGCTGCTCTCGGGGTAGCCTTGCCCAGCTGCCTGCTTCCAAACTCTCCCTCGCCCCAACATCCCTCAAGGCGAGGGCTCCTCCGTGCTCCTGCCCTTGGCGATTTCCTGTCCTGGCTGACGGCTCACCTGTGTGCTCTTGTGATCGCACTGCACTGCAGGTGCAATGTGTAGGCTGCGAGGAGAGCGTGTGAAAGTAAAAGTGGCCTAAACCACCCACACGTGACATTGATTCCTGAGACAGAAACCTACTGCCCTAGTGATTGTACTGACCCATTTCTGAAGGCAGAGCCCGTGTGGCCCGCTCACCTTTTCAAGGTCCCATCTCTCAGCACTGTGGCCTTGGGGACACATGCTCTTTGGGGGACGCATTCAAGCCAGAGTAGCAGTGGGCACCGTCCCCGCTTCTCGACTTCTTTCCGTATGGTTTTCCTTTCAGGCAGGAGGGAGAGCCCTTTCCATTGTGTCATTGTTCATTGGTATTTTCTGCACATTGGGTGTGGCTGAGGCCAATTTACTGAATCCCCTTCCTCGACCTTTTAGTTAAGGTTTAGTGGGTGGATCCAGGGGTGTGGACACTGCACCAGGAGAGGCTGATTGTGAGGTAGGACGTGCTCCTCCTCACTCTACAGCGCTTCCGGCAGGCCTGTAGCTCCCGCGCATGCGCAGTGCCTGGGCAGACGCTTTCAAAGGAAATGTGGGTAAAGGAGGTTCTCCTAAGTTGGGAGGCCGACACAGATGCATGTCAGGACAGCTCCCAGCACCAGATACCCCGGTGCATGGTGTGTGGCCTTGAGGTGACCACAGAGATGGGACTGTAAAAGCAAGAGTCTAGTCCTGATGCCACCTGCTGGAGTGTGCCTTTGGGGCTGGGTGGGCTAGGCTGAGACCTGGGAGTTGTGGGACGCAGAGATGCTGAGAGTCATGAGAGAGTTCAAGATGCTCAAAGTCCCCGGAGCATGCGCAGCTGCAGGACTGGGTGGGCTCGTGTGGATTCTGCGTGTCCTACCCTCAGGTATTCACTTTCTTCTCCTATAACTTGTTTTGGCCAGTGGAAGGGGAGAGTGACTCTAGCAGGAGCTTGGAATGGGTTCAAGTGGTTGTCTCGGTCTGTGAATGTCACTCTAGAGGAGGGCGTGATCCGAGCAGAGATGCACAGAACAGACATGATATGACTTAATAGGATTCTGCAGCAGAGCCACCCATGCTGACCCACAGCTCCCTTAAATGAGGAAGAAGTGTGATGCTTTCTGAGATTTCAGGGCCCTTGCTAAGGTCACCCAGGTGAGCTGTGAGCCAGGACAGGAAATTGCCAAAGGGAGGAGCATGGAGGATCCCTCGCCTTGAGGGATGCTGGGGTGAGGGTGAGCTTGGGGCATGCAGTCAGCTGGGCAAGGCTACCCTGACAGCAGCCTTCCAGGGGTCAGTGAGCAGATGGACTCTGGGCTGTCACAGGCCTGGGCAATGATGAGCCTGTGGCCTGTACAGGGAAGGGGGGTCTGAGTGGGCAACTGGAGTGCAGGCATCTAGCAGCAGTGGAAGGACTACAGCTGAAGGACACTGAGACAAAGAAGGACCCAGACAGCAGAAGGGGTCGAAGCAAATCCTAGAATACAGGCTCTTTTGAGAGGGACAGAAAATACAAATGAACAAGGACTTAAAATGGAAAGGTCTCTTCTTTCCGTGTAGAAGTCCAGAGGGAGGGCATTTGGGGAGTCATCAAGACACTACTTACCGATTCACCTCTCCAGGGGCGTTTCTCATCTCCATGGCCCACACTGGGTGGGTGCTCAAGGCCTGACCATCAGGTCCGCATTCTGGCCAGCAGGAAGGGGAAGGGTGGGGAGATTAGCTCACCCACTTTAAGGAGACCTCCCAGAACAGTGATGGTGACCCTAAAGCGCATGTCCCTCAGCGGGCTGATTGTGTCACTGAAAGCTCCAAAAGGTTCGCCATCACTGTTCTAGAAGTTTCACACAGAAAGTAATTTTCAAAATCTTTAGCAGTTTGGCATATGCATTAGTCAGCTTTCCATCACTGGAATAAATAACTGAGATAATCAACATTTAAAGAAGAAAGGCTTATTTTGGCTCAGCCGTCGATCAGATGGTCCATGATCAATTGCTTTGGGCCTGCAGCCACACATCATGGCGGAAGTGTGTGGTAGGGAAAAGTTGCTCACCTCATGGCAGGAAAGTAAAGAGAAAGAAAGAGGAAGAGGCTCAAGTCCACACCCCCAGTGACCTGAAGACTTCCCATGAGGCCCACCTTTAAAGATTTTACCACCTCTTAATAGTATCAGTCCAGGAACTAACCTTTAGCTTGGGTATAGCAGTGGGGGTTTCAGTGGATCAGTACCTGTGCATGTGGGTGGACTATCAGCCCTGAGCACGACTTTCCACTCAGAACTGTCATTGGCTGATTGTACTCACATGACCATTTTTAGTTGCAAGGAGGGTGGTGAAGTCTTCATCCCAGGCAGCCAACTACAGATTGCAGATTTTAGTTCTAAGAGAGGAGAGCACATTCACAGTGGGATAGTCAGACTGAGGTTTTGATCCTGGTCCAAAGCCCTTCCAACAATCTGAAAAAGAATTCCTCAATTTTCTCTGCAAACAAGTATGTTTTATGCTTTTTTGTTGTTGTTGTTTTATTGCAGTACCGAGGATTGAACCTCTGGCTTTCAGACAGAGCCATATTTCCTACCCCCAACCCTTTTTTTTGAAGTAGGGTCTTCCAAATTGCTAAGTTGCCAAGTTTGGGGTCCTCCTGCCTCAGTCTCCCAGAGTGCAAGGATTACAGACATGTGCCACCTTGCCCAGATTGAAATCAAGTACTTTTCACAAACTTTTACATGGCAGAATCTGACCCGAAGCATCTATACCATTAAGTGTGAGTATACTTACATTTTTTGCAAAAATATAATGTGTTGGGTTATGAGGTGCTCTCCCAAATAAATCTATCTAGGGCTCACGTGCACATATGCATGTATGGAATGCACACATGCACACAGTGTTACCTTCATAAAACACAAACACCTCTGAGTCACACTGGGCCTAGGGTTTTGGGTAAAAATGGCAATCATGGAACCCAGTGCTCAGGACACACAATTCCCAACTCAGTTTGGGTGAAATCACTGATAACTCCCCTACCTTCTTACATCTGCAAAATCTTGAAGTTCGGATCATAAACTTCACTGTGAGAGCTGGCAGGCATGGCTTCATCAACCTGTTTGGTGGGAGTGTCACTGCCGTCCCCAAGCAGAACTCTGTATAGCTTGCTTACGTACAAAAACATGCAAAAATGCCTTTTCAGGAGCTACGCACTCAGATCCTTGGCCAAGCAACGTCCTCACTTGGTCCGGCTCTGTTCTTCCTGACTGGCCTTGAAGATGGTGGGAGCAGCTCTGGGATGGGCAGCAGCACGGACACTAAGTCAAGGCTGTTGCACAGAAGCAGGAAAGTGACCAGTATGTTCTGAACCATGACAGGCTCCTGAGCATTTCTCATGAGTGCAAAAAGGGCGTGGAAATGACCTGAATCTCATATGCACAATGTCAGCTTTCCACAGCTGAGGTGTGAGGGAAACAGCTCCTGTAAAGAACAGCTCTCTCCCTCTCCCTCCCCCTCCGCTTTCTTCCCCTCCCCCTTCCCTCCCCCCCTGCCCCTCTCTCTTTCCATATGTTACCCAGGCTGGCCTCCAACTCCTGGGTTCATGGGATCCTCCTGCCTCAGCCTCTGAGAAGCTGGAACCACATCTGGCTGAGAGGAGTTTTGATTGAGCCCCCTCAATGTTCCAGTGTTTGCAGCACCTTGGGAGGAAGGCTGCCCCTGCTCTCTGCCTGACATACCTTCCTTTTTCTACACACGCCAAATGTGGGGGGGGGATGGCTGAGCCCTGCCTCTGGCAGAGTGACTTGGGGTCTGTGGTCAGGACCAGGCTTCTATGCTTTTCACCCTCTCCTCTCTGGTGAGTTCAGGAGCGATTCTGAGCATCTCTAAATTTCACTTTACCCATCTACAAAATGGAAAAATTGAATAAAACATGTATGGAAAGGTCTTAGGGCTGTATCACTGGCAGGCAGTGTGGACTCCCACCAAGTGAGTCCTACATGGCCATAGAAATAACTGACTAGGCAGGCAGCTGTGGCTTCCTCCCCACAACAGGCTCAGCATTGTATTGTAGGGTGGTGGACAAAGTGTTAGAGCCATGAGCTAATTCTCTAGCAATGGCCCTCCATGGGGACATTTGGGAAGAAAAGCAGAGGTCTCCCTAACCCCCAAAATTATTCTTGCAGGATATCCTATCTCAGTAGAAAAATTTACAAGTCTTCAGTCATTCCTTCTCCCTTTCTACCAGTACTCTGTGTTGCTTCCTCTTTTAAAAATCAAGTTTGAGCTCAGAATGGTGATGCACACCTGAAATCCCAGTGTGCAGGAGGCTGAGGCAGGAGCATTGTGAGCTGGAAGTCAACCTGAGCGAATTACCAAGCCTCTATCTCAAAATAATCTTTGCAGAAGGGCTGGGAATATCGCTCAGATCAGCACACGCAGCTCCTGGTCAGTTCAGGGGTCTTTCATGGCCTGTGAGTCCTGATGGCCTTTTCAGTGTGTGTTAGGGTTTGATGAGGGCACCTTGACAGCTGAGAGCCGCTGTTCTCTTGTCACCTGGGGGAACGCCCAGGATGCAATGACTTCCACGTGGCACCAAGCATCATGTAAGTGAAAGAGCTTCTGAGGGATGAGGACCCTGCTGGAAATGGTAGGGAAGAATCTCTCCTGCTCTTGAGATCTTGAAGGTCAGCTTCTTTCTCCCAGGATTGCTTCGTACATCTATTTGGGATCAGAAGAGCGGGCTGTGGCTGTTCCCTGCTTGGGGAAATGAGGCACCGACCCTAACTCTTCATGCCCCAGACCTGCCCTTGAGCTGTTCTACAAGGTCTTCTGTGTGAGGACATCCGGACCATCCACCCAGCACTCTGGCCTGGTTCCAGAACATTCTGTTCGTGAGACTGGCCACACCCAGGGAGAGCCAAGAGCAGTGTGGGAGATGGAAGGGGGAGGAATGCTGAGCAAGGTAAATAAAATGCCTGTTTCCAAAGAGGAAGTACCGCTGGGTGCTCTTTGTGGGCAGCCTGCCCCGTTGGGTGGTTTGGACAGGACTTGAAGCTAAGTCAGAGCTCAGAGGCAGGAGAGGGAAAGGTAGGGAAGGTGTGGTGGCTGATGTGTTTTCTTCCTCTGCTTTCATTTAGGTAGCACAGCCATGGATGTGGAACGCAGACTTCGTGCCTCGATGACTTCCTCTAATGACTTCCAGCCACACCCTCCACCACCAACTGAAAGCCACTTTTAAAAAAGTTTTAGTTTTTTTGTTTGTTTCTTGGTATGGGGGTTTCTAACTTGGGACCTTGTGCTTGTGAGGCAGGCAGCAGAACCACTGAGCTAAATCCCTGCCCTGTTTGTTTTTTTGAGACAGGGTCTCACTATGTAATGCAGGCTGGCCTTGAACTCAATGCGATCCTCCTGCCTTAGCCACCTGAGTGCTGGGTTTACAGGATGCACCACCACAGCTGGCTTGAAAGCCACTCTTTTATCATTTCTTTTGGGAAGGTGATTTCAAAATTTCCCTAAGTCTTTCCATCAGGGGACCCTCGGATTTCTAGTAAATTCAGGGACACTAGATTTTCTATATTCATTTGCATTTAGTTTGCATGAATTAGCATACCTGAGTCCCTGACTGTGAGTCAAGGCAAGTCGGGGAACGAATGCAAATGAGCTCAGGCTCTGTGTCCCTGGGAAGGCAGAAGAGGCAGCCTTGACTTATCTGTGAGAGGTTTCCTTGTCCTGTGGCCTGCAGGTCCCCTCCTGGGCCATTGGGAAGTCAAGCAGGGGTCCCTGAAGCATCAACCTCACACTATGGGTTTGTTTGTTGGGACAGGGGTTGGGGCTGGGAGAGATCTTGGGCCTGAGAAGAGGATGGGGAAAAAGCAAGGAACTGGAGGAAAGCCAGTGGGGAAGAGAGGGACAGAGCCGGAGCTGGCCCATGGGGAGGGGAGCCCTGGATCAGGAAAAGGAGAGGACAGGGAAGTCAGAGGGACGGGAGGGGAGCCCTGGGCACGGGGGGGGGGGGGGATCCGGTGGGAGGGAAGTTAGTGAGCAAAGTTAGCACGGCCAGCTGGCTTCCTCAGGAGCCATTTCTGTCCTCTCTGGCAAGGCAGGCAGTAGCCTGGGGTTGCTTTCTGTCAGTTATCCCTTGGGTCTGTCCTAGGACTGAGTTCTCACAAAGAGGCTGAAAATGAAGGTCACACCTTCCAGAGTATCTCCAGGGGAACAGGTGAGAGCAAGAGGCGCCTCTGAGTCATTTCCCATGGGGAACCAACCATCCCTCCCATACCTGCAGCCCATTTTCCCCGTGCTGGGATAACAGAGTGAGAGGCGGCCTCATAACAGGGATGGCATGGTGCCCACAGCCAGGGAACAGGGTGGCAGCAAGTACCCAGGGCTCCGAGCCACCGAGTCCATTGAGTGCTGGCTGTAGACTGGCCACTGGCCGCAGTGGAGGTGCGGTGCTGCCTAAGGAAGTCCCTCCATGGAGACAGCCCAGGTAGGGTCAGGAGGGTGGGCTTGCATGTTGACCCCTTGGGGTTTAATCTTGGCTCTAGCACTGAGGGCCTTAGGGAAGTTCTAATTCTTCTGTGCCTCGCTCTCCTTATGTGTAAAAAGGAAATAGTAACACCTGCTTCCAGAGTTGTGGAGCAAGAATGAACCACGGTAGTCCCTTTGAATAGTGGCCGGCAGAAGGGACACACTTGACAGGTACACGTGGCACACACACGGCCCCAAAGATGTGACAAACAGCTCACAGAGCTTGCAGAGGAACACTGGTGACACCAGCATCTTTCTTGGCTGTGAGCCAGTGTGGCAGCTGTGCTCACAATTTCAACCCAAGTGCTGCAGCCACAGCTACAGCTGCAGCAGTAGGCTGTGTGGACAGGCCAGGCATGGGCTCTAACCGCAGATTGGGAAATGACGGCATGAATGGATGACGTTTCTTCTGTGTCTTAGTTACTTTTCTTGTTGCTAATACAAAATATCTGACACCCAAAGTTAAAGGTGAAAGGGTTTACGTAGCTCACAGTGTGTAGAGGTTTCAGTCCACAATCGGCTGGCTCCAAGGCAGGGTGGCATCACAGGGGAGAAAAGGTTTATGGTGGGCAGAAGGTAGCAAAGCAATAGGAGGCGGCCACAGCTCTTTATCCCTTCTACCTTATTCAGGCTGCTTAGGGCAGACAGCACTCACACCCTTGATCCTAGTGCCTGTGAGCCTACATTGCTCCACGAATCAATCCCAGCATCACACATTCTAGTTTGAGCCACCTCTGAAAAAGCCCCAACTATGACCGCACGGGGCTCTGGGCGCATCTAGACATGAGCCACAACATTCCAGTTTGATGGTTTTTCTTCCTTTTAAAATTTTCCATTTTTTTCTCTTCCCCTCCAGGAAAGGAACATTTGGAAAAGCAATTGCCCCTGTCTGTCTGTGTTTGGCAGGAAGGAACACAGGGCTGTAGGGAGGGACTCCAGGGAGAAGGAGGCAGGGGGCCCCTGTGGCTCATGTCTACCATTCCCGATAGAGGGTTAGTAGGGAGGTTGCACTGGTCTTGAGTCTGTGCACAGTGGGAGCTAGAACCCGCTGGTGTCGTCTGTGTGCTGAACTTCCCACTGGTGGGAGCCACTGGCGGCTGCAAGGAAGACAATGGGTGGAAAGACAGAGTGCCTTGACCCCAGTTGTGCCTGGATGCATGACCAGTAGGCCCTGGAAACAGATCCGGAAGCAATAAGCCATGGCTCCCCCTCTGAAGGAGGTCGCAGGCCATTCCAGTGAACTCTGGCCGGCCCTTCTGACCCAGAGTCCCCCATGTCACTCTCTCCACTTCTGACTGACTCACAGAGCTGCTCTTTTATGGGCTGAAGGCAATGAGTTAGTGAGTTAAAGGAAGCTCCAGCAGGTGGCTTAGCAGCTCATTCTCTGCATGGTTAACTGTCCAGACCCCGGAGCAAGGAGCCAACCTCTGCCTCTATCCCTCCCTTGTCGCTCTTCTCAAGATCCAGCGGCTGAAGTGGAGGGACACCTGGTGGCCCAGCTTGGGGTCCTGCCCGACTGAGCCTTAGTTGGTTTCCTCCTGTTTGGAGGTGTCTCCTGAGCTTGGCCATGGACGTACCTTCCTGGCCATTCTCACCCCCGATTTAGCTAAACTTATGACACCGAGATGCCTGGGAAATGCAAAGCCCATCTATAGATTGCTTGTCCATGTAAGAGTTCAGAGAATGTTTGGACTTCCGGATCAGAGCAGAGTGGGAGCCAGATCCAGGGTTAGTGCAGCAGTTGGAGGGCCTGGTCGGCCTGCCACAAGCCCCACCATCCCTGCCCGCCTCCTCGAAGCAGGACCACGGGAAAGTCCCTTCCCCTGCAGGCCTCAGCTTCCTCATGTCAGAGGCCTCCAGGATTAGCCAAGACCTCCTGGGCTGATGCGATGTGGTGTTGGTGTCCTCGGGATCTCATGGTCTCCCAGGGCTCAGAGTTATCCGGGAGGGATCGAGGAAGGGACTGGGAGGTGTCCTGCGGGAGAGCCTCATGAGTTTTGTTACCTGAAAAGGTAGAGGAAAGAGGGACAGAGAAAGAAAATAAAGGGAAAAGCAGTGATCCCAGCGCTCCTCCAGTCCCTCAGGGCCAGGCTGACTTGTTAGGGTTGGCACTGGGGCTGCAGCATGGAAACTGTACATATATTTTATTTTATTTTACCCATTCCCCTCTCCAGCCCCTCCACTCCCTGTTTACAAAAGCTTTGCTTCCATGTTTTCCTTCTGTCTTCGTGTTTTTCTCGTCCCTTCCTTTCTCCCTCCCTCCTCTCTTGTTCTCCCTCCCATCCGAACACGTTCTTCTCATTTCCCAAAGTCCGTCATACGTTTCAGTCCTTATTTCCACTTTCAACTTCTTACACCAGAGAAATAATTCGGTATTTGAACATACGCGTCTGACTCTTTTCACTTAAGAGTGTGGTCTCAAGGTCCATCCTTTTAGCTATAAACGTCTGAAGCTCATTCTTCTTTATGGCAGAGTAGTTGCTCCATTGCATAAAAAAACACATCTTTTTTTTTGGTTTTTTGAGACAGGGTCTCACTATGTAGTGAGACTGACCTGGAACTCACTACGTAGCCCAGGCTGGTCTCGAACTCACAACGATCCTCCTTGCCTCAGCCTCCCGAGTGCTGGGATTACAGGTGTGTGCCACCATGCCCGGCTTACACATGCTCTTTTATGATGTGATCTTGCTATTTTTCTATAAGAGCAGCGTGGTCCAGCCCTCTCCCTTTGGATGAGGAAATCTTCACCCCCTAAATGCAGTTGATGTTTTCCCTGTGGAGCTGAGGCTCAGTCAGAAGCAGTGCCATTTGATGAGCTTGAGAAATCCATCTTGGGGAAACCGAACTGACACCTGAGTGATGTCAGCCTTCCCACTGATGTCCGCAAAGTCCCCCGGCAGCATTTCCCTCCAGGTGCCCGGTGTAAAGGAAGCGATAGATCCTAACTTCCGGACCAGGCCTCACTCCGGATGATTGGCCCTGCCAGCTGCACTGTGCAGCTCGGGGAGGAAGCAGCCGTCCGAGCCCTGCCAAGGTTCCTGCTGCCAAACAGTCCTGGAGAGAGAAGGAAATAATGATTGCTTTGGTCACAGAGTTGTAGGGTACCAGTTGTTATAAAACAAAAAGTACTGGAACAGGATGATAGGAGAGGTAAAAAAAAATCAGCCCTTTGTTTCCCAGACTGATGATAATTCCTTAAAAATATACTTGAGAATTGCAAAGCAATTTGGAAGCCAACTTTGATTTTGCTCTTAAGGGACATTAGGATGAAACTAGCATCTTCTAGAGGTGCTAGGGATTGAACCCAGGGCCTGGAGCTGCTATATTTTGAAAAGAAAATCATATTTCACCATAAAAGGAATAAAAACCATTACCTGCAACTAGGGCTGTTGCCCAGTGATGTAGTGTGTGCTTAGTATGTAGTGGTCCCAGCTTCAATCCCTGCATGTGTACACATACATACACACACATACACACAGGGACAAAGAAAAAAAAAAGGAAGGAGCCACTGCCTTCCACTACAATGACTAAAATGACCAAATGTGGGCAGGATGTGAAACAAGCAGAACCCCACACATCCTTGTGTGTGTGTGTGAGTGTAAAATGGGACAACTACTTTGTGCTACATTTCTCTTGTCTTAAGATGGCTGTCACATGGAACAGCAGCCTCCATGTTTAAATATGGCTTCTCCCAAC